CTAAACCTTAAAGTCTTAAAGCTGTCAAGTTTTGACATCCTTGGGTTTTTTTTTCTAAAGGATTAGGGGTGCAAGGGACTTGTAACTTGACGCTTTAAGACTTGCACACTTCAATGCCAGAGTTCCTGAGCCAACATGACTGGAGGAGGAATTCTGGGAGTTGAAGTCCACAAGTCTTAAAACTGTGAAGTTTGAACACCCCTGGGGGATTGGCCACACCTACAGAAGAGGTTCTAAAAAAAATTTAAAACCCACCACTGAACTGAGCCCAAAATATTCCACTGCTAAGCAAGATAGTGGTTAAGCGAGTGTTGCCCCATTGTACTCTTTCTTGTTGCGTTCAGCCTTTTTAAAAGCCATTTTTCACCCTCCCCAGGCTCCAGAGGCTTTATAGGAGCCTGGGGAGGGCGAAAAGAGCCTCCCTCACCCCCCACCACCCCAGGACGCTCTTCGGAGGCTTCACGAGCTTCCCTGAAGCCTCTGGAGCACAAAAAACGGACCTATGGACAAACCCGAAGTTCTTGAATTTCATCTTCAGGATCTGGCCTTCTAAAGAGTAGTTAGGGTTGATCTCCTCTAGGACTGGCTGGTTTGATCGGAAGGGACTCACAGGAGTCTTCTCCAGCACCACATTTAAAAGGCCTCCATTCTTTGGCGCTCAGCCTTTTTTATGGTCCAACCTTCACAGTCATCCATTGCAACTGGGAAAACCATAGCCAGTGCACTTTTGTTAGCAGGGTGATGTCTCTGCTTTTTAGTAAGCTGTCTAGATTTCCCTTAGCTTTCCTCCCCAGGAGCAAGCCTCTTTTAATTTCTTGGCTGCAAGTCCCCCCATCTGATCTTGGAGCCCAGGAAAATCTGTCACTACCTCCATTTATATTTAGCCACTATATATTGAGTATACACACAGAGCGAGAGAGATGCTTCTTCTGATAAAATAATGATTCTGAATATTTAGCACTCAGCGAGTCACCTGCCTGCAAGGTTTCCTTTCCAATCTTGTTTTGTGAACACCTTTTGACTGGTGTTAAAAACAAATGCAACAACATTTCTACAGACTAATGATTAATAAAATATAACAGCCCTGGTTAAGAGAGAAATATGTAGAGCTGTGGAAACAGTGTGTGACTGGGCCCAAGGCAGATAATCCGATATGCCTAGGCATTTTAGCTGGTGGCATATTAAAGGGGAAAGGAAGGCGGGAGAACAGAGCTCAGTCTGTTGGGAGTTTCTTTCTTTCTTTCTTTTTTTTCAAAGTTGCCTCATAGACATGCAAACAGAGTAGACAAAAGGGGCTGAGCCAAAACAGCAGCCGCAAGGGAGAGGAAGAAGGTGGGGGAGAGAAAGTTTCCAAACCGCAGCAAAAAGCTGGACTCGGAACTCGTTTGAGAAACTGCCGTTAAGACGGAACCTCTCAGAAAATTACTCAGCAGAGGATCTGCCAGGTGAAACATGTTCAATGCTTTGGAGACACAGAGAGCTGCTGAGTCATTTCTTCAGGTAGACCTGGCTATGTTGGAGAGAAATGCCTATGGGTGCTGTCCTTCTCCTGGCTGTCTTTCTCGCCCATGTCACCAGAGCTTCTCGTCTCTCCCTCGCAGGTTGTAAGAACGTCCACTACGATCTGATCTTCCTGCTGGACACATCCTCCAGCGTGGGCAAAGAAGACTTTGAGAAGGTCCGCCAATGGATAGCCCACCTGGTGGACACCTTTGAGATTGGGCCAGACAAAACCCGCGTTGGGGTCGTCCGCTACAGCGATCAGCCAACCACCGAGTTTGACCTTGGAAGTTATGGGACTCGGCAAGAGGTCAAAGAAGCCGCAAAGGGCATCAAGTACCACGGGGGCAACACGAACACCGGAGACGCCCTGCGGTACATCAATAGTTATAGCTTTTCCGCACGGGCCGGCGGGAGGCCGAACGACAACGCCATCAAGAAAGTTGTGATCCTCCTGACGGATGGCAGGAGCCAGGATTATGTCCTGAGTCCCGCCATGGCGGCACATAAGGCCGGCATCCGGATTTTTGCGGTTGGTGTCGGGGATGTCCTCAAAGAAGAACTGGATGAAATTGCTTCGGAGCCAAAATCGGCTCACGTCTTCCATGTGTCTGATTACAATGCCATTGATAAGATACGGGAGAAGCTGAGAAGACGGCTCTGTGAGAGTAAGTAAAATAAGCCATGGACCAAGAAATGGTGGAAGGTTGGTTTAATGAGGAGTAATCAGCAACATTAGACTATCCATTAGTAAATGTATTGCAAAATTCATGTCTTCATTATTTATGTAGCCATTTAAAATGTCAAGTTTCCTTCCTTCCTTCCTTCCCTCCCTCCTTCCTTCTTTCCTTCTTTCCTTCCTTTCATCCTTCCTTCCTTCCTTTCCTTCCTTCCTTCTTTCCTTCCTTCCTTCCATCCTTCCTTCTTTCCTTCCTTCCTTCCTTCCTTCCTTCCACCCTTCCTTCTTTCCTTCCTTCTTTCCTTCCTTCCTTCCTTCCATCCCTCCTTCCTTCTTTCCTTCCTTCCTTCCTTCCCTCCTTCCTTCTTTCCTTCCTTCCATCCTTCCCTCCTTCCTTCTTTCCTTCCTTCCTTCCTTCCATCCATCCTTCCATCCTTCCTTCCTTCCTTCCTTCCCTCCTTCCTTCTTTCCTTCCTTCCTTCCTTCCTTCCATCCATCCTTCCTTCTTTCCTTCCTTCCTTCCTTCCTTCCTTCCATCCTTCCTTCTTTCCTTCCTTCTTTCCTTCCTTCCTTCCCCCCTTCCTTCTTTCCTTCCTTCTTTCCTTCCTTCC